CTGGAAGTGGTCCCAAAGGTGGTGCATACGACACTTCAAGAACAACTGGAACCATCATTTCAAGCGGAATAAGCTTGCTGATAATTTGTGGTGGATTGGTAAGCTCTCTATTGGTTGTTTAATTTTGTCTGATAACAATATCTTATTTCAAATAAACGGAACACTTGTTAGAATCTTTCTAAAGAGATTCATGCCTAAGGAAATGGGGTTTTAAGCGATCATCATGGTCCTCCCATTTCCTGGGAAAATCGGGTTTTAAGCGATCCTCGGATCCCCCCTTTTTCTGTCAACCAGGTTGTGTTTCTATGGAGATGTAACTGCTCGTAAGAGTCTAACGAGAGTACCTGCTGGTTGTTCGAATTGTAATAAATTGCCGAATATTACTAACGTAATACTTGATTGTGATTACCTCAGCTGTTACATACCAAGGGAAAAAATTCCAGGAGAAGTTGCAGAAGATGCGCGAGTTATGCACTGAAGGGGCACAGTGGCTGGATGTACACGACCTATCCATGTGGACATTTCATAAAGACGGAGGTACAAGATGGGGTATGGCCACAATGAACTCATCAGAGAGTATCAATTCTGCCTACAAGGGTGTTCGGGCGCTGCCAATCTCTGCCATTGTGGAGATGACTTTCTGGAAAACGAATGGATGGTTCGTCAATCGACTACACTGGGCAAGGACGAACGAGGCACAGGGAAAGGTCCATGCCAATAAAGTCACAGAAATACTGGAGCATGACAATCAGAAGAGTAGTCGACACAGTGTAGCCGTTATGAATCGGGCAACTGGCGAGTTTAGCGTGACGAGCGGACACCGTGAGGATGGTAGACGCGGGGGCCATCGCCATGAAGTTTTGGTAAATTTCAGGACAAAACTTGGTGAGTGCTCATGCCAGAAGTATCAGGGGAGAGGGTGGCCATGTTCTCATGCAATGGCTGTAATTAAAAACAGGAGCAAAGACCCCCGTCACTTCGTCAGTCCATTCTTCAATATCGACTCACTCAAAAATTGCTATGGACGGAGTTTCCGTGCATTGGTTGATGAAGTTTATTGACTGGTGTACTCAGGAAAGTTGATAATCCCGCCGTTCGGACAGAGGCGTGAACCGGGTCGACCGAGGAAAAAGAGAATTCAGAACGAAATGGATCAAAGTGGAAGACCACAATGAGGCCCAAGACGATGTTCAGTATGCAGAGTTCCAGGGCATGATAAACGAAGTTGTCTAGGTCCGATTGGTCCGCAAAATCCGGGTCCTGATGTGGGGGACTCAACTAATGCGACACAATTTGCGGTTTTTATTTGTTGGTACTTGTTATGTATGTTTTCAATTATTGTCGGAGTTAGAGCTATGATGCTTGGAACTTTCGTGTTTGGCAAATAACCCTCAATTAACACTCAAGCCTTAAGTTAACACGATCAAAATAGAGAAAGTCAAGTACTTAGAACTAAAATAAAAACTAAAACAACACTCGATTAAAGAAACTAAAATAGGAGGGAAGGGTTTCAAGTACATATAATTAAAACTTAACTAAAAACAACACTTAAAATGATAAAACTAAAAATTCATCTCAAGGAAGTCCCTGGGACTCATGGGGCTGCAAGGTTTTCTTGCTCCTTGTACGACGGCTAACGGGAGTAACCATCGGTGGTTGCGGTGGCAAGCTTCCATGGGTCATGCTAGGGCGCTCGTCGGTGTTGTGTCGGCGTCAATCTGTGGTATGCGGCGCTTTCGGGGTCGAGCGGGGGACATCGATGCTCATACGGTGCGGGGTAGGTGGCCACGGCTGATGAGGGCGAGGAATAGGATTGAAGTTGTGATGCGCAGTCGTGGAGGAACCATCATGCCAAGTACCCGAGGATGTGGGGGGTTCGTTGAAGAAGTTTGGGCGGGGATCATAGTATGGTGGGCGAGGATCATAGTATGGTGGGCGGGGATCGTGGTATGAGATCGGGTAGGGATCATATGGGGATTGATGGTAGCTCGAAGGGCATTGACGGTAGCTCGGGCGGGGATCATGGTATGAGCTCGGGAATTGCTCATGATGGTAGGTCGGGCGGAGATCATGATGGGGATCTTGGGAGTGGCTCGGGCGGGGATCTTGGGACAAGCTTGGGCGGGGTTCTTGGGAGTGGCTCGGATGGGGATCTTGATGTGAGCTCGGACCGCCATCGTGTGCCACAACCAAGGGAGTCGGCACTCTCCACGCCTCCAACGGCCTTATCTCGGGCACATGAGGTCTTTCCCGAACCTTCTTGCTTTTCTTTCTCTCGTATGGTGGTGGGGGGTGGGGGACATCAACTTGTACCGGAGGTGGCACCGGTGCGGGCATGGGTGGGTATCTACGATGATCACGACCCTGTGCTCTGATACAGCCAAGCAGACTGTTTGTCATCCTCTTGATGAAGCTCACATCTTCATGTCCCATTTCATGTTTCCCATGGGTCAACTCTTTGATCCGCTCGATCCCATCAGCCTAAATCACATAAGAAGGTTAGCAAGATAAGACTAATGATGTGACAGAATGAAACAAGCAATAAATTTAATCTTATTAGACGAAATATACTTACCAATGCACCATCGGCCGCACCCTCCAGAGTCATGTACCGAACCGATGTTTGCCGATATCTATCCATGTATGGGTCATGATGCCCCATTCGACCCACACTTGTTGGAGTGACAATATCATGAAGTTGTCGGTTCTCCCATACCGCGATCATTTCCGCCAACTTCGTGGGCTAATCGTCAGTACCTTGCCGACCATCTCGATGGTGAAACGCCCTTTGACTCTCGGGGATCTCCAACGAAATGCACTGCTCCCGACCAAACTGACGAAGGCATCGATCCGGCAGGTGCCACTCCACGGTCCCTAAACAATGAGAGGGACCGTCGTGCACCATTGTCCGAAATTCTCGGGGAATTGCTGTAAATGCCAATGAACGATGTTTGCCGGGTAAATGCCAATGAATGATGTTCGCTGTAAATGGTGCTAGTTTTGTAAATTTTGTGGGCTGGATGCTGTTTTTGTAATTTTTTTAATAGGTGCTATTATTGGAAAAATCCCCCAATAAAATATGGTAGTCTTAATAGAAGTGTATTGAGAAACTATATGAGGGGTTTAATTAGATTTTGGTACTCTAGCAAATTTACATTATGAGTGTGTTTGGATAGGTGTATTTCAAATGTAAGTTATTTGAAATACATGTTTTTGAAATGCATGCATTTGAAATACATTTAATTTAAATTCGTTGTTTGGATACTCATTTGTATTTTGTTTGTATTTTAAATTAATTTTTTTTTATTTCAAATTGAAGCTTTTTGGTGACTTACTACAAATTTTGGTAAACTACAGTTCGGTACCCAAATTTATTTTTTCTCCAAATTTAGTACCTAAAATTTTTAAAATTTTACAAAAGGTCCTGAAATTTTAATGGTAAAATTACATTTTGATACCTTTATTTGTTTTGCTTCACGCTATCTTACCTAAACTTTTAATATTTTACAAATAGGTCCAACTTTTTGTTAGGAGGTATTTAAAATCACTAGTTGTTGAAATGTATTTGAAGTTGACAAGTAATACACTAGACATGTATTTGGAAATCAACCCATGAATCTGGCACAAATCCATATAATAAATATTATTAATATCCAAATACATGATTTGACATTTAGAAATCAAAATCAGAAATACCAAATACAAATAATTCTATCCAAACACATCCTATAATAATTGATTGAATCATTGAAAGATGTTTCTAATAAAAGTTGTTTTGTTTCCAAGACTAATAAATATCTCTGCTGTAGCAATCTGCAATTTCTATTACTTGAAATCCGGGTTCAAATCCCGACAACGGTATTATTTTTAGTTCTTACAACCTATTCTCATTATGCTTCAGCCCATTATCTGTCAGACGAATCACGACCCAATGTTTGCCGACATGGATGGGATATGTCATGTTGACTTATGTTGGGAGGTTATTAGTCATGTTGCCTTTCTTTTTTTTTTTTTTTCGTTGCATGTTCGTGCATTCAAGAACACTTTGTATGGCATAGAGAAAGGTTAGTGTTATGTGGATTTTCGGCCACACAATGATTTGTGACTAGTTATAGAACGAGATCGAGAAGAAGTCGGAAAGGGATGATAAAGAATGGCTACTTTAACTCAGGAAGAAAGAAAACTAAATCAAATACGACGGCTCAAGATAAGGTGAGTAATCTTAGGGTGAATAATAATGAGTAACCAAATCTGGACCCTTCTTTTAAGTGACTGTAGATCTAAGGGTGGAGAATTAAAGGAATTTATTTTCCCTAGTTTTCTTAATTGGATCATATCTTCTTCATTCTAACTCAGATTTCAATTTTTTTTGCACAGATGGAACGAGTTCGTTGTGCTCTACAAAATTATATCAATTTTCAATATTTTTTGAGAAAAAAAATTTCATCCCTCTCGTTACCAACTCCATACCATATGGTATCTCCTTCGTTGTTTAGGCCTCGTTTGCTAATGGGATTTGGAAATGAGGGTTTTGGTCTAGATTTGGGTTTGAAAACCTTAAGGATTTATAATGGATTTGATACATTGTGTTTTTGTAAAGTCTCTTGTTTGCTATATAGATTTGATCATGGATTTAAGGGTTAAAGATTTATGACTAGAAAAGGTAGATTACCACATAGTCCTTCTTTATTTCTTTTACTATTTATTTATACCTTGTTATTATTAGCAGCCTCATCGCAAGTTTTTCCTTTGCAAAAGAAAGCCTCCACCTCCAGCTTACCCTGCTCACATCTCCACCGCAAACAATTAGCATACCTAGAGGTGTGGGAGCCTTGTGATAGCAACGCAAGTCTTCCTTTCATTAACGGCTACAAAAACCCTCAATCTAGTGGCCGGTCGTGAACACTACCTTCTCCTGTGATGGCTGGACTCGAGTAAATCTCTTTCTATTCTTCTCCATCCATACGATGATTGACTAAGATGGTTGATGCTCGTGCGAATCAGTTGAAAGGAACCTTCAATATCTCCATGCTCTTCGGCTCTTCTAAATTAATGGGTGAGTCTAAGCTGTCCAGATTGACAAATGTTTGAGGCGAGTAAACTGGATCTGAAATTCCACCTGTTACCCTTCCTTGAGCTGTTCCGCCTTCGCCAAATATCTTCAGAAGTTCATAGTAGTGTGGGAATGGCTTCTTGTTGAGGTTCTTGATGTTTGGATGCACCTAGAACATTCTCAAAATGGTTATTCGAGCTGCTATATCAATTATAATAAGCTAAGCAATGAAATAATGACCTTACCTTCATCAGATCATCAAACACATCATCCTCCACCATTGGTGTTAGAGTCAACTCATCCCACCCATTTCCACCCTTTGAACGCAACAAGTGTACAACACTAAAATCCCTTTTCAGCTTCCTGTGCCTCGATCGAATATTTGGATCAACCTTGACCCCGCATCTAGGAACCTTCTGGTGCATCATGTTTTCAAGTTCAGTAAATTCTCCATTCTTGAAGTTGCCATTATCAACTTGATGCTTCTCGACCAGCTCTAGCATACACTGTATCAGTATAGCATCAAGAGTCTCGGTCCAAGAGAAGTAAGGACTCTTTGGCTGAGGGGGGTTAGCTTCTTCTTCTTCTTCAATCTTGATTTCCTTTCTCTTCCTGCCCATCCTATGCAAAAGCCAAATAATAGACAAACATAATATATAACCACATAGAAATCAACATATCCATCAAACTGAACAAATACACATATATAATCACCACAATCAGTCCACAAGAACAAGTAACATAACACAGGTTCTACTGTTCAACAAAATACAACAAAGCAAATAATTGGAACCTTACAATAGCACACATCCTACTGTTCAGCAAAGTATAAGAAAGCTAATAATTAAAACAAGCAGATAACATGGTTCAACCTCAAAGTACTTCATCTTCTACCACTCCTATTTGACCAGATTTCTTGTGATAGCTTATCCCTAAAGTAAGTCCATTGGTCCAAAGGCTGAACTACAGATATTACATCCTCAATGTGCTCGGCATAGGCAGAAGGATACTGCTCAGGTTCAATGTCCACGTAATCCCTCTCAAATGTGTCTACACCTGCCTCTCTTTTGATAAAATTATGCAACAAATAGCAAGAATTCACGATCTGGACCATCACTTCAGGGGAGAACCAACTCGCATCTCTTAGGACAACCCATCTATTTTTGTTGATACCGAAAGCACGCTCAATACTGTTTCTTGCACTGGCATGCTTCATGTTGAAGTATTCTTCCGCTTTCTTAGGGCGTAATCCTCCCCACTCCTTGAGATGATACCGCTGCCCACGGTATGGTGTTAAGAATCCTTCACAATTGCTATAAGTTTGATCACACAAGTAATACGTGCCTAGCAAATGAAACCAATCAGTCAACTCTAGACGCATTTAATACACTTTTATATTTTTCGTGACATGCTTAGCCTACATTACCTTTCGGAAACCGCAACCCATTTGGCCTTAGCAATGCATCTCTAAGCACCTTCCCATCATGAACTGAACCTTCCCAACCAGCTAAGCAATATACGAACTCGAGATTTGAATTACAGACCCCCAAAACGTTCATTGAAACAGTCCCCTTGCGGTCTCGATATCTAGGCTGGTCTTCAAGCCTTACACGGACCTTGATATGTGTCCCATCTAGTGCCCCTAAGCAGCCCTAAGGAACAAAACAACTTTATTACACTAATGTTGAACTTTTTAGCTATACATAAAGAAAATAAAAAGATGCTTTAGTCACCTTAAAGAATTTCCACTTTGCATCATCAGAGTTTTCTGGTATAGGTGTTGGCTGGGGTATTAGGATGGGATGGAGTCGGAGAATAGAACGAATGACCTTATGGAATACTTTTGAAATGGTTTGGCCCGATCTACAGAAATCTTGTTGTAGGATCCTGTTCTTGACGTTGTGTCCAATTGTGACCAAGAAAATCATCACCATCTCATCTATGTCTACATCATCCGTACCATTTAACCCCCCCCTCACTGACAAGTAATTCACACAACTTCCTAAACAAGGTTCGGTTCATCCGAACCTTATGAATACATCGACTATCAGAAAGTTCAAGCATGCGTCTCATATAACGCCTCCTATCATGTTGACGATCAAATATGTTATCTAAAGGGGTATTCCGAGGTCTCCTAGGCTCTAATAACCTTCTCAATACCAAAAGCTCAAGCAATTGAATCAACAACGAAAAATAGACAAGCAATAGTCCTAACACTATACTAATGGCCTGTGCGGCTTTCCGATTGCGCACATTAGATATCCTTCTCAATCGAGCCATTTCCTTTATAGAAATCAAAATGAGTGAGAGTTAGGAAGACCAATGCAGTCAAAAGCGCGATTCTACCTAAAAGCGGAAAATGGGTAGAATCGAAAAGCGGTGAATCAAAGCGTAAAAGCGTAAGTTTTTATGCAGCCTGTATAATAGTTAAAAATCTGTTAAGTACGACATAAACTATGTAAAATATGAGTGCACAGAGTTTAGATAAAAGAATAAATACCTGCAATTCATGTCTAAATTAAAGCAAACTATTATCGAGCCATGACCACATGGCTCTTCCGCTGTACTCTTCGATCTATTGATCTCCCACCACTATAACAGCCACCGCCTCTATATTAATTACATCGTACAATCCAACTCTTTGTCCTAGGAACTAATAAAAACAATTGCTTTCCCCTTCATTGACTAGACGATGAATCTTCATAGTTACTGATGTACAATGAAATACAACTACTCAAATTGGTGAAGATTGAAGTGGCGACTGGCTAGGACAAGGAAGAGACAAACTAACCGGTTGTGTAACCGGCAAGTGGCGACAGGCGATGACGAGTCCGACGGGCGCTGCCGCGTTGGAGGCTTGGAACCTTGTAGAAGCGCTACAGATTCTTCGCTGGAAGGGGGCGGATACTGGTGGCAAAGGTTGCGAAGCCTTGTAGCAGCTGCGGATTCTTTGCTGGAGCCAGGAAGGCCTGCCTCACGACGGCGATGACAAGTAAGGAGGGCGGCAGCATGCCTGTCTCGTTGGAGTGCTGGAGATAGGAGACAACGATTAGGGATTTTGAAAGAGTTTGGCAGCCAACCCGATATCCACCCTATTCCCTTCTTTTTTTTGTTGTTGTCCGAAGTGCTCAAAACGGCGTCGTTTTGGTTTGGTGGAAGCAGTTTTCTCCTTTGCTTGAAATCGAATGAAATCGGTCCGAAAACGCGATTTTATACGATCTCACCGATTTCACCAATTCTACTAACGCTTTTGACCGATTTTGAGTGAAAAACGATTTTATTAGTGATTTGATTGCACTGAGGAAGACATATCAAATACCAAATAATTAAAATCATGACATGACACAACAGTATTGAAAAAACAGAACAAATATATAAGCAGAAGGTGGAACCGCACCAAAAAAGGCAGAGGGTATAACACAACACATAATAATGGAAGAATAAACACATATATAAACAAAGCATTAGAGCAGCAACCCTCTCATCACAAATGGAGGCATTTTTAAGGAGAAATAATCGCCCAGCCCTTCCTTTGCGGGTTCAAATAGTAGCTTGAGATGGAGTAAATGGACGTTTTGGAGATCCCACAAAATGGTCAAAGTTGGACTCACCTGATTAATGGTGTTGCGCCTGTATTGTTGACGAAAAAGACTTCTCCGCTGCTGAGTTCAACTGCTCTTTCTTTCTTCCTTTGCAATGGTCGTTGGAGGCTTGGAGAGCACCTGTGCTTTCTCTCTTGTGAAGCTGACCTAATAATACAAAAGGGATAAGAATAGATAATATAATTTTTCCAGGGCAAAGGTGGAATAAACAAAAATTGCTTGGACAGGGGAGTCGATTTGCACCACGTTTTTTTCTGTCTCCAGCCAAATACCAATGAAAATGTGGTATTTACAAATTCGTGGAGCCCACGGATTTGGTCCAATTTTTTTTATCCAAATCCGTGAACCCCACGGATTTGTGTACCAATTTTATGCCTAGCAAACAAAGGACTTACACAAATACATGATGGTTGGAGTTTTGGGGGCAAATACAACACCCAAATCCTATTAGCAAACGAGGCCTTAGTCATTTTCGGAAATTTTTGCACAAAAGGAACGATTTAATCATGATCTATTGGATTTCAAAATTTTCCGGGGGAAAAAATTTCAAACATCTCGTTACCAACTCCATACCATACTATACCACCCTGGTATGAGGTGGTATTTTCATACCATATGGTATGCTGTTATTTAATACCAGTCAATACCATATGGTATAGTCAATACCATATGGTATAGACTGGTAATAACTGACAAATTTTTTTTGTTCCAAAAAATATCAAAGTGTATATCATTTTGAAGAGCACAATTAATCTGATCTAACTATGCAAAAAAAAATTAAATTCCGAGTTAAAACGATTGAGAAATCGTCCGTTAAAGATTAAGGGAAAGAAAATTAATAATTTTTCCAGGAGAGAGAAGGAGGCGCTGATGTATCAGATTCTTATTGGGTTATGCATGGCGTTACTCACCACAAGGTTACTCACCGGATCTGCTCCCGTCGAGCCTAAGATGGCGGCTCATGACGGGTCTGCCAGCTGTCACGTCCGCCATCTGCTTCTTCTGCATCCTCCGCTTTCTCCGGGAATCTCCTTGCCTATCAATAACCTAATCTGGATCCTTCATTTAGAAAATCCAGATCTAAGGATAGAGAATTAAATACCATTTTTATTTTCTCTAGCTTTCTTAATCGGCTCATATCTTTTTCGTTTTAACTCGAATTTTAATTTTTATTTGCACAGATGGAACGAGTTCATCGTGCTCTACAAAATGAGATCAATTTTTAATATTTTTTGAAAAAAAAATTCTGGCTTTTCGATACTAATTGCATACCATATGGTATTTTCTTCGTTTTTAATTCGTTTTTGAAAACGTTTGCACAGAAGGGACGAGTTCATCATGATCTATTGGATCTACAAATTTCTGGATGAACAAATTACAGGACCAAAAAAACACCACACAATACCATACAATACCACCCTGGTATGGGGTGGTATCTTGTGGTACACAATGTTAAAAGTCGTAAATGAGAGTTAATATACTTCTACGATAATGTATTCAACAATCCTACAGTCTTGGTTTGTTCATACCACCATGGTACGCTTTTCAAACCATAGGTATGCTCTTATTTCAATACCAGTCGATACCATATGGTATAGACTGGTAAAAAATGGCTCAATTTTTTTTGTTCGAAAAATATATCAAAGTGGATATCATTTTGAAGAGCACAATTAATCTGATCTAACTGTGCAAAAAAAAAAAAAATTAAATTTCGACTTAAAACGAGTGAGAAATCGTCCGTCAAAAATTAAGGAGGGAAAATTAAAGACTTTTCAGGAGAGAGAGGGATGCTGATGTCATACTGATGTGGACGGGTTACTCATGGTTACTGACCTGATCCGTTCCCAAATACGACAAGAAAATATTAACTTGAGGTATATGCGATTGGGCTTTGGCGTCCGTGTTGGGAAATGAAAATTTCTAATTAATTATTCAGTATATTTCCATATACGAAAATAAGAAGGATAATTAATAAAATGAATATTAGAAAGTTAATTAGAGTTAATTATCTTAATAAA